CAACCCTCTGAGGTAGATATCTCTAAAGATTCACATCCTGTTGAGTAAAGAGATTTCTCCTCAGCTCAGTCTTAAGTGGTTGGCCATTTTCCTGAAACTGTATGCCCTCGTTCCAGATTCCTCAGCCTCTTTTTTTACCCTGTCAAGCCCTTCATAACCTTGAATGTCTCAATGAAATCACCTCTGGACCTGGATGGTACAAAGTGGCAGGGCAGATCTTTCATTAAATCAATGCTAAAAGCTGGTTGACATCATGATTTCCCATTCTGCATGTTTCCTGTGCACAGAAGGCATCCCTGGGCTTGTAACTTATCTGTCAGGCTGTGACATGTAGAATGTAGAATGTACCAGAGGTGCCTGGAAACATGCCAGCTGTCATGTGTTCACTTTGGGGTTTCTGCAGTTCCAGAACTAGTGTCAATACAGGATTAAATTTCATAGCCAACATCTCTAAATTGTGCACAATTATAAAACAAAAACAAGTAAATGTCATAGTGATTTGACATGGGTAAAATAAAGATAATGTACAGTTTTTCTTTTTGGAGAAATTCAATTGCAGCACACAGGACAACATACTACAAATATTGGAAAACTTAAATAGAAAATGATAGAAAAGCTCAGCAAGTCAGGCAGTACCTGTAGAGAAAGGAACAGTTATCAATTCAAATTTTTCATCAAAATTGAAAACTGTCACAGACATAACACGTCTTCAACAAGCACAGAGGCAGAGAATAGGGTGTCTGGTCTGGCAGGTGGTGAGTAAAGTCTGCAATAGGGTGGAAGGCAGACATCAATGATGCTGAGACCTTCCAAAATGATTAAAATAATTCACCCATTCTGAGCTATGTTTTCTTAATAAAACAATAAATTCTTGATAGCAACATTTTTTTGAAGTGATAAATATTATAGTTTTTAAAATTTGAATGAACATTGTTTGAGACTATTAATCTAGGTCTCTCCATTATTGATCTGCTAACTTAACCATTCTCCTTCATGAATTTGTTGTCAGAAGGCAGATCCATAATGATTATTTGCTGTACCATAGCCAAGTGGCATGAATATTTCTTACAATGAGTAGGGCAAGGAAACAGGTACCAAGGCTGTCTTAACTGGAACAAGGATCAAGGATCCAAGCACAGGCTCATGACGTTAACCTAATCCACACACTAACTGAGCTAACCAACCCTCTAATGTTATCACTTACATGTACCTAATTAATCTTAGCAAGCTCCACTTTATTAAGCACAACAACCACATTCAGTTTAAAAATAATCAAAAATAAAACCACTATTTGTGAATGATTGTTCAGTCATATCTGATTCAAGAATAAAAACGCTTTATGTTATAATGGCCCTGTACTATAAAATAGTAATTTTCACTCCTCAATTTAGGTCAAATTATTAAACTTTTTTAAAAATTTGATTTACTAATTTGAACAGAAATTGTTTTATTATTAGTTGTGATAATGACAATAATAATGACTGTTAAAGGAAGATATTTTATATCGTTTTGTTTTCAGTAGTCCCAATCATATATACTGTAATACAATTAATAATGCATATTGTTTCCAAGACTATTTAAACTCTGTCCCAGATAATGTTTTCGTAAAGTATTATATGCAGCAAGACTGTACTACTTTTGTATGTGTTTTACAGCCTCATAATAAATAGTGATGCAGTATTTTAATTTTCATCTAGCTAACCGGTCTTCAGCGAATGGAATTACTTATTATCTAAGAAAGAGATTAAAAAAGACAAAAATTTACCCAAAAAAACTTCCAACAATAGGTCCCTGGGCAAGGCAGGCATCGTCCATCGAATGCAGCAGGCAGTGGGAGAAGTGGAAGTGTATTTTGTGGATTGGAGGTTGATGTTGAAGCAGTTGGAAGGGGGGACGGGATACGGTGCTACTGCTCCTCAGTCACTGAGACACCTGAGGCCAGGAGGGCGGGGCCTCACCGTTTAGGATCCGAGCGCGAGCCGCTGGAGGTGTGGTCGTGCTGCTGCTGCTGCTGTGGGAGGAGGGAAAACTTCCCTTTGCAGCCAAGTTCATTTTTACACGAGCGACTTTATTTGCATACTGCACCTTTGTCAGGTGTCACTCAAGTTGCTCTGACATTTGTTTTTCTTCTGCGCCTAAAATTGTAGGAAAATTTACATTTCAAGGAACAAATTTGAAGTGTGCACGATGGGAAGAACTTTTAAGTTTCGGGGAATACCATAAATACTTCATTCGCTGATTTCAATCAGCATGGTGCATAAATTTTTCATTGCAAACATAAATCATTTTAGTGGAAGGTAGTTAGTGCAGGCCCACGGTGAACTCTGTTCAAATTGCTGATGTGTGTGCTCCAGGTACAGAAAGTTCTGTTCCAGGGCACAAAAATTGTTAAATCCAAACGGATGTTCAGAAGTTTGATACAAATGTTAAACAATGAAAATCCGCCCCACGATTGTCTGAAGTAGCAGTGTAGCTAAAAAAAAAAGCTGGGACATTGTATGCCGTGCTGCATCTCTAATTGACGAACCACTCCAGATTACGTTTATTACATGTTTCATCAAATGCGTGCTTTTGAAAATGTGCTCCAATATAAACCTGTTAAAGGGTGGATTGACGAAATAATCACTCATGGGGTTACGGTCAAAGTTCAAGTAATCTTTATTTTCTCTGGTGGGGAGACAAACTCTGGTGGTCACGCCAAGAGATATCCACCGTGTTTCCTCGTATTTATGGCCGTTTATACATTTCTAATTCTTGGGCAGTTTCAGTAATCACGAAAGACTACACAAGTTACAACTTCGAATAATTTCTTGGAATCTTACAGATAAACAATAAAAATCACAATACAGACACATAATCTGTGATCACACAAAGATAATATACAATATTCATGCACTTGCTGAGGGTACCATGAGGTCCCGCCTTCTCAATCTCACCTTTTGCTTGAGGTGTGGTGATGCTCATTTTAAACCACCAACGTCTCTCTCTAATGAGAGAGCAGGCCAGTGGTCGTCTGGGACTATGGCAACTTTACCCTTTACATTATACAATCACAATATAGGCATGCAGTCTGTGGTTACACATGAGCATAGTTCACATTCATACTACAGGCACAAATTCTGTGGTTGCCTAACAGTTACACCATTTCCTTGATATGTTGTTTCATTGTATTTGTAGTTGCACCTCCATCCGGCCATCTACCTAACTTGTTCCAACTGCACTTTGCCCTGCTTATATTGTCTTGCCATCAGTATTGCTCAAATTGTAAAGTGCTTTTTCCACATATATTTTGCAAGAGCCATATTCCAAATTCTAATATCCCTTCCTCAAAACTCATCATTATATCATTCCTGTAACATCAGTTAATGCCTTTACATAAAATGGGGTGGGAATGAGGTGCAGTGTTAATGATTTGTGTAGATAGGTGGCAGATGAGGTTCAATGCACTTTAATGCACTTTGGTCGGAAGAACATTGAAAGACAATAAGAAACATAGGCTACAATTCTGAAGGGGGTGCAGGCTGAGAGACCTGGATATACATGTGTATACATCGTTCTGCTATAACGCGTGTTTCATAACGCGAATTGGCTATAACTCGATTGATGAATAGCGAACGCTGTTTGAATAACGCAAACTTTCTGTTGTACAGGTATAGTGATTTCCCTATAACGCGATTTTCTATGGGGATTTTCTATAGCGCGAGGTCACACAAGAACTCAACTATCACGTTAAAAGAGAACTACCTGTACAGATGATTGATGGTGGCAATACAAGTGGAGGAAGTAGTTAATAAAGCATATAATGTTTTCGGCTTCATTAATACATGTATAGAGTACAAGCCCAAAAAGGCAATGTTGAACTTGTGCAAGACACTTACTAGCCCTCAGCCAGAGTATTATGTACAGCTGTGGGTGCCACATTATGGGAAGATTGTGAATGCATTGGAGTGCAGAGTGATTAACAAGATTGGCTTCAGGAATGAGAAACTTCAGTTTATGAGAGGATAAGTGGGACTGCTCTCCTTGGAGAGAAGGCTTAGGGGAGATTTGATAGCTTTCCAAAATCATGAGTGGCTGAACAGAGTAAATAGGAAGAAACTGTTCCCATTCATAAAAGGGATAAAACAAGATTTAAAGTGATGTGCAAATGAAGCAAGGGAGATGTAGGAAAAATCTTTTTGACACTGAGTAGTTATGGTATGGAATACACATTCTGGAAATATGGTAGAGACAGGTTCAATTGAGGAATTCAAGAGGGCATTGGATGATTATTTGTATAGATATAGTGTGCAGGGACACAGTGAAAAGGCAGAAGGTTAACACTAAATAATAAAACCAGCACAAGCACAATAGGTTGAATGGCCCACTTCTGCACTGTAACAATTCTATGTTTCTGTTTCTCAACCTGTGACTGATCGAAGATAACGTGACACCAACAAATGTGAAAATTTTGTTTTTATACATTTGGAATGTACAAGCATTTATGTATATCTGTATTCCTATGCATAGATGTGTGCTCTGTGTGTGTGTGTGTGTGTGTGTGTGTGTGTAATTTTCCCTTTCTCCTCAATTTTGAGGTTTCAGATTTTAAAAGAAGTTGGGATAAATATCAATAAATACACTGCCCTGACCCCTGTATCTAATTATAAAATAGATTCCTCAAATGATTTGAATCACATCGGCATTGAGCAGACTTTTCTGCTACCTGCATCATATTACTTATTTTAAATGTATATATTACTATACATAACTTTACCATTTAATTCTTTAACCTTTGGGCTTTCCTGCTCAATCTCCCTAATGTCTCCAATTGAGCTTTCAGATTTAGAAGGCACTAATTATAATCATTAAGATATCCCTGCGGAAACATCACTGTGAAAAAGACTTCTATGACATAGATCTGACCTTCATCTATATGGGTAAGCCATTCTGTGCACTAACTCTGTTGTGGAGAGATGCACCACATGGAGGCCCATTATCAACATTATCTTCTGCATTACCTGTTTGTTGATGCAGCAATTGCAAACCGTGCACTGCCCTTACATAGATTGGCTGTGTCATCACTGTCGCAAAGTCCCGGGCAGCTGTGCGTATGAAAGATGGTTCAGGTCAAACAAAAACAGAAAAGGTCACACGATACTGTTCTAGCTCCCTCCTGCTCCTCCACTCACACTTCCAAGTCCCTAAGCTGTCCCAATTCGCCACTTCCCATGTTCCATTAAATAAAAACCAAAAGAACTCCGGATGCTGTAAATCAGGAACAAAAACAGAAATTGCTGGGAAAACTCAGCAGGTCTGGCAGCATCTGTGAAGAGTAAATCAGAGTTACCGTTTCGGGTCCGGTGACCCCTCCTCAGAACTCAGGGTTCTGAGTTTGGGTCACTGGACCCGAAACATTAACTCTGATTTTCTCTTCACAGGTGCTGCCAGACGTGCTGAGTTTTTCCAGCAACTTCTGTTTTTGTTCCCATGTTCCATTGTTCCCTCTCACTTCTTCCCACACCCATGCTGTCTTCCCCTCTTTCTTCTGTTCCATTTGCTGCTTCTCTGCTCCCTTTGTCACTTCTTTTGTTCCTTTAACACATCCTCCACTTCACCACTGATCCTGTTTTCTCCATCTTTTCTCCCAGATCCTCTCATATTTCCCACTCTCCTGGCTGTTTCCCATCTGCTCCCTCCCATTCCTACTGCTGCTCACTCCCCCATGAGTGAGAAGGATCGATGGAGGAAGGGGGCAACAGGAGAAAGTGGGAAGTGGCAAAATGGAAGATGCTTTGGATCATAGAGTGTATCCAAGTGGTTCTTTTGGATTCGGTTAAATTTAATTAAGACTCAACAACAACAATTTGCTTAAACATGAATGTTTATTAAGTAATAATAAATGATTGTAGTGGTAATAATAAATGGAAAAGAAAAGAGAAAAAGCAACAAATCACATGCCCTTTGCCCTGGCGGGGACCTCTCGCTCGATGGCTGGTCTGGAGGCTTTGGTTCATTCCTGGCACCGTTCACAATTCCAGTCCGAGACAAAGTCCAGAAACTTGGAACAAATCTCTCTCTCTCTGTTATACAGTGTAACAAACAGCCAGCACAAAGAAAGCAGATACAGGAGACAATACTGCCGATTGGTACAGAAAACACAGCTACAGAAAAACAAGTTGCAGGTGTCGTCTTTGGCTGGTAAAGGAATGTTCACAGTACTCACTCAAGTCATGCAGCTCGTCAAATATCATCATTAACTTTCCCAGCCTGTTTTCCCATCCTATACAATCTATTTTCTCACGCAGCTGTCGAATGTCATCATCAGCTTTTAGGCCTTTGGCCCATCCTATACAATCCACTCCTGACGATATTTGACAGCGCATGTTACAATTGCAAATGCAGATGCAAATCAGCAATAGCCATGCGAGAACATATAATAAGAGTATGTAACCTACACCAGAAAATTAAAACTACAATGAAAATAACCATCATCAATGCGAATAATATAAAAATAGGGTGTTTTATTAAATTAATGATCACAGTGGTTTTTTTCATGAGATTAGGTAGAGCAGCTGCCAACTGACAAATCATCCACAGCAGCACCCATCCATAATAAATTTGCATGCTTCTGTGAAGAAATCATATCTTATCAGTCTACAGTCAGATAACTCACTCTCTTTTCATTAAGTTCCCTCTGCCTATACACTCTGGTGCTTCCTGCCCCGTTATCAAAACCCAATAGTTATCACCTTGTCCACGGGCGAGTATCTCAAAAGGATTAGGTGGGTGTTGTGGGCAGTGTACCCCCACTTTTCCCCCTGTACAAAGGTCATTGGACGTTGTAGGTTTATTGGGAGGATGTAACTGGCTGCCCCGAACGTTCTACTCATAGGTGTCCCTCCTTTCAGAGGCCAATTCTTCACATTATACAATGCGTGTGGCAGCACTTTGAGCCACTCCTGTAATGTATGATTAGGAGTCAATAATTTAATTTGGTGCTTTAGTAGTAAGGAATGTGGAACATCCAATGAATCCAATTGTAGCACCTTTTGACCTGTAAAGTGTGAGTCATTATCTGATCGTATTTCTGATGGTTCACCATAGTGGGATATCAACTGTGCTAGGCCCTTGACAGTGTTACTCTGATTTGCTTTGGTTGTCGGGAAAGCTAACATTAGCCCAGTCCTGGTGAAGGGTCCCAACCCGAAACATCGACTTTCCTGCTCCTCTGATGCTGCCTGACCTGCTGTGTTCTCCAGCTTCACACTGTAGCGACCCTGACTTCCAGCATCTCCAGTTCTTGCTGTCTATTAGCCCAGAGTAAATGTCCACCTTGGTTAGCCAATATTGATATCATTGTTGGAATTGTAATGGGACAACATAGTCAACCTGCCAGATTGGAACAGGCCAATCTCCTTGCTTGATTTTTACCAACGGTTTATTCGGCAGTAAGATGTGTTTTACCTTTTGACATATCTCACACTTGCCAAAGACTTCTTTCACCAGATCGGCAGGTAAATGCAAACTTCGATCTCTTGCCCATTGCACAGTGCTGGGATAGCCTAAGTGTCCTGATTTTTCATGAGCCCATTTTCCAGAGTGATATGCTTCAGATGCATCTTCAATTGTTCTGGCTTTTACTACTCCGTCCACAGTATTGTTGTGATCAGCAGATTCCGAACCATCCTTCATATGGGCATCAACATGGCGCACAGTGATTTTCATGTGCTGTGCCTTTGCCCGTAATAGTTTCCATAGTTCTGTTCCCCACAGGGGCTTTCCAGCAATCTTCCAGTCATGTGACTGCCAGGTTGGCATCCATACAGCTATTCCGTTGGCCATTGCCCATGAGTCAGTATAAATGTGCAGACACTGAATCTCTTCTCCCTGCGCTAGTAGCAGAGCTGCCAATTCAGTGTACTGGCTCGATTCCCCCATCTCCTTCACGATGGATAATGGTCTGTGTAGAGGGATTAAATGCAGCCGCTCGCCACCACCTTTGGCTATTCTTCCGTTTGGCTGATCCATCAGTGAACCCAGCACAGTGACACGTATCTTCAGGTCATTGTTCGAGCGGAACGCCCCATTGAATAGGAGATTCAGGTATGGTCCAGTTGGGGCTCGGGGTTTATGGTATTTGTTCACGGAGTTTGGCAAACCCCTTCCTTTCCCTTCTTCACTCGATCAGCTATGTACCATTTCCATTTTACAATGGAGCTTTGTTGGTCTCTACTGACATTGTGGGTCACAATGTCAGAAAACACCCATTGTCAGAATTAGTAACTCAAGTCTGAGGAACACTTTGTTCTCGCCCGTCTGCCCTTTAGTTTCTACTAGGGCCCAGTAGGAGGCCATAAGTTGGTATTCAAATGGTGTGCAATGCCTCAGTCAGTTTTCTGGACCAGAAGCCCAGAGGTATTGCTTTCTCCTTTTGTCTCTCTCATAAGCTCCACATGGCTACATCTTATACTACCAATACTTGGAATTCAAAGGGTTAGCTAGGTATCCGAAGGGCCAGGGGAAGTGAATACTAGTGCTATGGGCCTCTTTAGTGGCTATAAATGCCTTTTGTTTTTCATCACCCCATTCGAACCGAGCTTTCTTCTGAGTAACGGCATATTGAAGTCTTAGTAACGTGTCTGTGCCAATATCTGAGCAGACCTATAAATTTCTGCACCTCAGTCTTGCTGGTTGGAACAGCCATGTCTTATATTTTATTCTTTACTTTTTCAGGGATGACTCTATCCCCTTTTGTCCACTGAATGCCTAAAAACTGCACTGATTGTGCTCGTCCCTGTATCTTTTCTGGGTTCACTTCCCAGCTTCTGTCTCGCATACGATGTACCAATGTGGCTAGAGCTTCCGCCACTGCAGTTTCCATTGGTCTGCGCATCAAGATGTCATCAATATAATGTGCTACATGAATGTCCAGTGGCAGCAGACACATATCTAAGTCCCATGCTACTAGCCCATGGCGTAAGGTAGGGCTGTGTAGGTATCCTAGTGGTAGCTGACAGAAAGTATATTGGCGACCTTCCCATGAAAAAGTCAACTCAGCTTGTGATTCCAGGGGATCTGGTCCTTGTGACAAACTTTCTATAGCAGTGACTGCATCAGGCACAGCCACCGACCATGGAAGAGCATATTTATTGAGTTGGTGGCAATCAACTTTCATTTGCCAACTTCTTACCAGGCTTCTTTACAGACTATACAGGGCAATTGTACATAGATACTGCATGTGTCATAATCCCCACAGCTAACAAGCCCTGTATAGTATCCCCAATCTCTTTGTGCCCTCCCAGAATACGGTACTGTTTCATCAAAACCACCCATAAAGGTGGAGGGATAATGAAATGCTCCCATTTTGTCTTGCCAACAGTAACCATCACAGCTCATATACCAAAAGAGAATTTACCCAGTGGGGTCTGCAAGGTGGTACCTTTTAATAAGTCCATACTGATAATATTTTCTGGCATGTTGAATATCAATACCGGGAGTACTCAAGGGGGTCCATTCCCCAAGGCCATTCTAATATTTGTCTAACTGCCAGTGTAATTGCCCACCAAATCCATTAATAACCATTCTGAGCCCTGCATATCTATGTGGATTGCCATGTATAATAGTAACTTCTGCCTCAGTGTCTAATAATGTGATGTCTCGTTGTACATTGCCTTTCCTCCAATAAACAGTGATAGGGATATGAGGCCTTGGGTCTCTGGTTGTCCCACCAAACGCCCTTACACAGACCCCGGAGTCACAGTCCCACCCCTAACTGATTGGTTGACTGGCTCGCCACAGCTGCCTGACCTCCTCCAGGCTAAGGTACAGGGATGCTGTGGGAGACGCAGTCAGTGTGGTTCCCTTTCCTCCCTCCACATCTGACGTAGTCTCTCTTACTTCCCTACCCTTTGGAGAGCAGTGGGTCTCCACGTATTGTACATGGCACCCATAGGTATTCCATCTATCTTACTCCTCTCTATTCCTGCTTTTAATAATGCTGCAAACATTTCCCTTCTGGTTATCTTTTGTTTCACCTTTGAACCCACCCCATCTCAAACTTGTTGTCCCTGTTTATCACTTGCTCGGGTGGGCCTTACTCTTTGCTTACCAGCGTCCACGTCCTCGAACTGTCCTAACAACAAATATACCTGTCCCACTGCCTGTCCCTGGGCTGGCCCTAATAGGGCTAACAGGGCATCTCTCATCCAGCCCATACCACTTTTCATTAGCCGACTCCTCATTCTAGCAGTGAAAGCTTCCTGGTCAGGACCCTGAAACTGTGGGGAATATATACCCGCTTGCATAGCCAAATCCCTCAAATGTTTCTCAAATGTTTTATACCTTCTGGTACGCTCTCCCATTTTTCAACATCACCTTCCCAATCTCTCGGGACTTGTTCCCTACTGCTAGTGTCAGTCAGTATATTCCACAATGATTCAGTTTGCCCTATGTTTCTAAAGATACTATTTGTACGTGGGTCAACACTTAATGCTCCCAGATTCCCTCGCTCTGTAGCACTCAGTGTAATATGGGTGGTATCCTGGTCCCATGACTGCGACAGCCAAGAGACCAAGGGCTCACTCAACTTCTGCTTAAAGAGCCACCCCAAATCCTGCAATTCGGACATAGAGCACTCTCTCGCTGTTCTCGAATTTTGTGAGTTTTAACCTCCCACCTGTTTTGCCTTATTCGTTATTAGGGGTCGTGCTATGAGTCCCTTTCCTGAGGATGGCTCCAGAGATAGAGCATCCCCTTCCCCGTCTGTCTATTCATTCTCTGAATCAGATGAATAACAAATGTCCCCATCCCAATGGTCGGGATCCCATTGTAAGGTTAATAAAGTGCTCACTTTGGCTTGGTCATCTTTCCAGTTGTGCTGTTTTGCTCTCTTTTTCTGTTGACCCATCACCAGACGGCAAACTATCTGGGACAACAAGGTGCAGGGCTGGATGAACACAGCAGGCCAAGCAGCATCATAGGAGCAGAGGGTTCTGTTTTTCCTCCACATACTCAGCTCTCTCCTGCGCTGTCTTAGCTGCTTCTGTTAGGGTGATGTTACGCTGTTCTACCACCGTCAATGCGGCTTCAAGCTGCCTGTTCTTGGCCCGGCACTCTTCTAATTGTCAACACGTAGAACGCAAAGCTGTTAATAAAACACATCCCATTTGCAATACATTGCCCTTGCTTTTGAGGAAGCCTCGTGTACGGCAGTCTGTATGACTAACCCTCCTTTCTCTATTCTTCCGGTTATAACTGTCCGCCATTCTTGCGGGGGTAATTGTGCTAACAAGTTAGCTACAGACCCGAATGCAGAGTCTGCCGCATTCCAACCTGGAATACGGAAGGTCTCCGGAGCATCAGGTTGCCTCGCCTTTCTCTTGAATATTTTCCCGAATCCCATTCTCGTCGCCAAAAGTGTCTTGGATTACAAGGTGTATCCAAGCGGTTCTTTCGGATTCGGTTAAATATAATTAAGAGAAGTTTCAAAAACAGCAATTTACTTAAATATGAATGTTTATTAAGTAATAATAAATGACTGTAGTGGTAAATAACAAATGGAAAAGAAAAGAGAAAAAGCAACAAGTCGAACGCCCTTTGCCCTGGCGGGGACCCCTTGCTCGATGGCTGGTCTGGAGGCTTTGGTTCATTGCTGGCACCATTCACGATTTCAGTCCGAGACAAAGTCCAGAAACTTGGAACAAAACTCTCTCTCTCTGTTATACAGTGTAACAAACAGCCAGCACAAAGAAAGCAGATACAGAAGACAATACTGCCGATTGGTACAGAAAACACAGCTACAGAAAAACAAGCTGCAAGTGTTGTCTTCAGCTGGTAAAGGAATGTTCACAGTACTCATTCTAGTCATGCAGCTCGTCAAATATCATCATTAACTTTCCCAGCCTATTTTCCCATCCTATACAATGTATTTTCTCACGCAGCTGTCGAATATCATCATTACCTTTTAGCCCTTCAGCCCATCCTATACAGAAGGTAAGGACTAGGGGAAGCTGGACACACAACACAAGGAAGCAGCTAGTAGGTGGATTGGGCAGTGAGCAGTCTGGGAACAGATTTTGGGGAAGCAAACAGAGGGCATCAGACAGATAATGGTGCTATACAGAGCTGTTGAAATCACACATGCATCACGTGCCTGGAATGGTAGTAGATTTTCTTTCCTTGTCTGACCATGACAGCTACCATAGAGAGACATCCTTTTTCTCCAGCTCTAGAAAAAGTAAAATTTTGAGAAAAAGTTGAAATAAATGCAACCATTTGGGGATATTTAATCTTGTTGTTAAATATTATTCCTAGTTTCATTTAATGGCAGTATTTTCAAGGATTCAGCTGCGGGGAACAGAACACCTGATTTGCAGTCCACACTATTTTCTAACCATTGAAATTTAATACATTCAAAGTGATGGAATATTATGGTTTCAAGAGGGATGTCAATAGAGTGTGTTCACGCAATGCACTTACGCATAGTTCTGTTTTTGTGTCGATTACCTGTTGGTCTTCTATCACATAATTTTCTGGATAATTGGCAAGTATAATTAATATTTACAAACTTGCACTTCAACAAATGCAAAGAGCTCAATTTAATCATACACCTAGAGTTTTGATTCTGATCAAACATGACAAATGAATCACAAGAGGAGAGATTTCAGTAAAATTAAGCTTTTCTCACCAACTTATGAAATCTCAGGATTTTCCACTTGCAGTTTTGTAAATGGGTCTTTCCTGGGCTGCTACATCCTGCTCCCCCTGCAGATGGATCGTGAAATTGTGCACAGATTCCTGTACCAGCCATGGGTCGGCCTCCAATGCACTCACAGAGCTGAAGCTAACAGTCCAGCACAGACCTGCAGCAAACCTAGCAAGTGGGAGCCTGCAGGGCCAAGAGGTGGGTGCAGATTCAGTAATTGGTGCGGGGCATTGATAAGCCTGGACAATGTGTGTTGACAGCACTAACGCTGCAATCGCAACAAAGTTTTGGGCAAAGCTGAGAACCCTTCCTGGCTCAGTGTATC